GGATAAACATAATCAAATAGAGAATGAACATCTCATTTTAAAATATAAAAAATCTAAAATATAATTAGAATAATTATCGAGTTCCAACAAAATAAATAATTATTATCTTTGTAAAAAAATATTATTAAAACAAATATAAATTATTCGTTATTGTAAATAAATTAAATTATAAAAAGATTGAATTAAAAAATTACACAAAAAATGAGGAATTTCGAATAGTTAATTTGCTACTAATATCGATATATTTTTGTCAAATTTTTATGATATTTTCAAACATATATTTTATTCAAAAATAAAAACATCACCGCTTTCTCAAATTCACATAAAGCCATATTATAACATCGACTGAGATAAAGAATAAAATAAAATAAAATATTAAAATCACGATGTATTTTGCTGCATTGCACGAGTACGCTTCTAGTTATCTTATTAAGCAAATTTAGCAAAAGTTTTAAAGTCTTAAAATACTAAATGACCAAATACTTTTTATACTCATTTTTTTACTTCTTCATTTTTTCACTTTTTCACTTTTTCACTTTTTCACCCTCTCCTCTCCTCACATACACTCACCCTCTCACAACCAATTTTTTAAAATTATAATTTTAAATTTACACTTTATACCCCTATAATTAATTAATTAATTTACTTTACGTCATTTACTTTTAAATGTTTCATTTTAAACATTTATCAAATTAACATACATAATCGTATATCAATTAAAACATGTTTAAAAAATACATTTTWATTTTAACAAGTTACACCATTATAATCGTCTCGTTAATATTTTCGAAATGAGTCCAATATTGAATAGTTTTTGACTTAATTATATTATTATATATTAAATATACTGTGAAAAATATTTTTAATATTTACGATTTATACTTTTATAGTTATTTATTTATATATATATTATATATTTTGGGGTTAGGTTGTAACGCCCCCAAACACCACATTTGCATATATTACATATTTCATTACATAGAAATATAGTTTACATTATAAGGTCCTACTAGTACAAGGATTACTATATGTACAAAATCTACATATAAAAATTTCCAAAACAAATCTTGTACTATTACATGTAATGCAACATGTATCTTCAAAAGCAGACAACAGATTAGGAAAATAATCACATTTTCCCTTTCCCTTTAATATCCCCGGACCCCGCTATTCCTGCATTGCATAATTTAAAACAGAAAATGAGGGTTAGACCAGATGGGTCTAGTGAGTAAATCCCTTTCTTGCAAATGCAGGGTGATGAACACCAAAATATGATAATGTAATTCTGCTTTGAAATATTCTACAGTACAAATAAATAATGCAGTTCACAATATCATGCAAAATAGAGTATACCCAAGAACCTCAGTTCTATAAAATATCTCTGATTAGAGATCCAACGTTCCCAATATAAAACAATTATTGTAAACAAAACTTCTTGAATCAATAGACCATTCATTTATAAATATTAACAGAAAAGATTTAAGGCAATACTTGCCTGATATGACAAACTATTTTTCCTTTCTCAATAACATCTAAATTATTACTTCTAAATAGGAATAATATCTTTAATTCATCAGGTCACAAAGAAATGATGACTCAAAGTTATTAAATCAAATTAGTAATAATAATAAGAATTATAATAGTATCCACATATGACAATGCCACCCTTATTCAATGTACATCTCTCCTTGATATGTCACCCTTATTCCTCCATCAAAACATGGCTGCTTATCATAACAGACATAAGTCACCACGTCTGAAAGTACCCATTCCCAGTTCCAAACCAGAACAGACAAAAGTCACCACGTCTGGGGGAACTATTACTTAAAACAAGTTTCATACCAAAACAACGTCACCACACTTGGTAGAAACAATTTGCAAAATCCACTTCCATACCAAAACAGACTTATGTCACCACGCTTGGTAGGAAGGTTTCCCAAAATATAGTTTCRTACCAAAACAGACTTACGTCACCACGCTTGGTAGAAACATTTCCCAAAAATCCCGTTCCAATACCAAAACAGACTTACGTCACCACGTTTGGTAGGAACATATATTTATATTTAAAAAGATATAAAATACTCATTTTATAATCCATAATTAAACCCAATAATAGACATTTTAAACCATATAAAAAGTCTAAAATATAAAACTTATGAAAAAATTCCAAATAAGAAGTTATCCGGACAACTCATCGCTCAAGGCTTGTCCGATTTAACATTTAAAAAAATTCCAACACCTTTGTCCGGATAACAAGTCCGGACAATACATCAATCAAAGCTTGATCGATTTAAAATAATCCGGTCACCATATGGTCGTATTCCTACTTCTCAGTTCAAAATGATAACCATTCTTATCAATCATAACCCGCTGAACACTTAACCGGTTTAAGACTAAACCGTTCAACACTTGAGCGGTTTAAGGCTAAATCGCCCAACCCTTGACCGATTTAAAAATAATCCGGACAAGCTTTGTCCGATTTAAACTTAATCCGGTCACCCTTTGTCCGGATAAAACCCTTAAACAAATACATAATTTCTTTTCAATAATAATCAACATTCAAATAAAAGTAACAAATTTTATGTAAAAAGATTTAGAAATCACTCACCTTAAATCTTTTGAAACCAAACACTTGAAATCAACTTGATCTTGAAATCAGACTCTTGCAATCCGGTTACTCTTCTTCTTTTAAATCGCTCAACTTTTAAAAATGACAAGAAGAAGAGAAATGGAGGCTAAGCCATCCTTTTATAACTTTCTAAAACTGGAAGGTCGGCTAAACAGCCCCCTTCCCATGTATTCCCACTTCATGCATACCCATGACATACATTCATACATACACACAATATGCATGTATGCTTATGTATACATACCATATTATTTATATGCATTTTATTTAGACTTACCACATATACATAATCTCATACATGCATCTACATTATGCACATGATTTTTACACATTAGCATGATCAAATATAACAATTTATCATGCTATCATGAAATCATTTATTCAGATAATCACGTATTATTTACCTTGGGTGATAATCAAGATCCGGTTATCACATAGGCTGTCCAAATTGTACTGTATAATATGTTTTTGGGTTTTTTTTGATATATATACTGTATTAATTCAACCTTAATTTGAGTTTCTGGACAAGAAAGAGGGTAAGTAGTTGAAATTTCATTCTAAAACCCATTTTTTTGTCTTTTCATGGCTTATGATCTGTCAAATTTGTAGTTTTTCTTTATTGGTTTTGAGTGTTTATATTAAAACTCAAGTTTCTTGGTTCTTTGCTCTTGGTGTAAATCGAATAAATTTGTGGAGTCGTTTAAATATGTTGAATTTTAAACTGACATACAATTTTTTTCATCGATAGTTTGTAATTGGAACCATAACTCTAATTTAATCAAATTGTATTAATATGTAAAGACCAAGTGTAACCTATATCATCGTTAAATCTTATCTTATAAAACCAGCGGAACTTTAAAATCATTAAAATTCATGGCTCCCGCCGCATTGCACGAGTACACAGCTAGTTTTTTTTAAATTTAATTTAATTTAAAAAACAAATTCTTAAAAATTCAATTTTTGCATACGAATTTTTTTTTAATTTAATTTTTTTGGTTACAACTTTATTTTTTTAAAATTTTTAATTTTTTGGTTTAGATTTTTTTTAATTTTTATATTCACTTTACTTTTTTCTAATATAACACTTTTCAATTTTCTCGTTCTCAATACAATATTATTATATTTTCTCCTTCCCAATACAACATTATTTTAATTTTTTTAACTTTAATTTTTTTTAAATTTATTTGTTTCTTTAAAAATTTAATTTTTTTAGAAATTTGAAATGTTATTTCTAAAAAAATTTGAAATGTTATTTCTAAAAAAAAAATTAATGTTTTAAAAATTAAATAAATTTAGAATAGTGTTGTATTGGAAAGCAGAAAATTGAATAGTGTTGTATTAGAAAAAAAGATGAGAAGATGAGCAGTTGAGTAAGTAGCCTATTGTGTCAAAATCTTCAGGAATTTGTGTGCAGTTGAGTAAGTAGCAGCTCATTGAAGCGAAGATGAGAATTGTATTGAATCCATTAGAGAGATTCTTGATCAAGGAGGTAAAGATGAAGAACAAGATAACGCACTTCATATTTTACTGTGTTTATGTCATCAACATGAACAACTACGGGAAGTTTTGATGCAAGAAAGCATTGTTTCTTCTTTGGTAGATATATCGCAAATGGGAGTTCTGAAGGGAAGTTGATTTCAATGAAGTTGTTGCAGTTCCTGAATAATGATCAAGAATGTTTTATTGCGGACGTCCGCCAAAACACAAATATTTAACCTGAAGAGTTGCAGCTTCTCTCCACAGACATGAGCGTGTCTTATTATTTTTGTATATTTTAATTGATGCTAATTATTATCTAAAGACTAATTTGATGTGAAGTTGGCCTTAATTTGATGACTTGACGTTGGTGTGACAAAAAAATGTAGGAGATACTCCATTGTTGAGTCCGTATAATAATCTAATTAATTAGTAATTATATATTTAAATGCGTTGTAATAAGTTTATATGACGATTTTGGACGTCTTAACAAGTTTTTTAGGACATTAGTTTGTTGTGATTTTAAATATTGTTTTATTATCCGTCCATTTTGATGCTACTTTTATAGTTTGTTGTGATTATAAATCATAAATCAGATGATTTATAAATTCAAAGTTAAAATGTTCCATTGGTCAAATATTTTGAAATGATGTTTTTAACTTATGAACAGTAAACACAACTTGAGGTTGTTAATTTAATGTTAAAAGATATTTGGATGGAAGCAATCTTCCATTTTGGTTCAAGTCATTATAGCATGGGCAAAGGGTTACCTCTTAAAAAGGTGATGCTAGACCTGATAGGCAAGGAAAATGAGCATCATAAAGTTGCCTACAAGAGGGGTAAGTAAACCAAAAAAGCTATGTAAAACTCTTGTTTTAAGCCATTTCATGGCCTTTCTAAGGTATCAAACTTGTATTTTTTTTAACAACTATCTCCTCTTCATTTTATATAACATCACACAAAAAACTGAATACTGGAACCATATCTTTCGTCATTGAAAAACTATGGCTGAAAGAAAGCCTTCAGGCTTCCGTTTTCGCCTACCGTGGTTACTACAACCTGCATTAACTTCCCGTTCTGCCATTGCCCCCGAGCCGCCACGCACCACCACACAAACCTCTGTTGTATCAACTCCTGCTCAAAGGCCACCATTTCGGCCGGCAGGGATAGCCCCGGCACCAGTAGCACGACCATCGACCCTAGCTACACCAGCACCACCACCAGTTTCGCCAACACAAGCTCCACCACGTTCAGCAACATCGCCAGTGCCGGTAGTATCATCTCCACCTCCTGTTCCGGCTAAGTCATCAGCACCTAAATCCGCATTAGCAAAAAATCTTGATCCTGTTGCAAATCAACCTAGGAAAGAAACTCAAACCACCAGTGAAATTGCCGGAGCTATTCCACTTGGTGCTGCTAGAACTGCCGATGATGGTGAAACTCAGCCCATGAAAGGAACTCACAACTCCACAAAAATGGCAAGTCCAACAACTCTACCTGCAATTGATAAAGTTGCTGCTACCATTAAAACTCAAACCACCGGTGAAACCCCAGGTCCCGCGGTTCCAATTGCGGCTGCTAGAACCGCTGACGTAGGTGAAACTCAGCCAATGGAAAAAACTCAGGCCACCACAGAATTGGCAAGTCCGGCAACTCCACTTGCAATTGATAAAGTTGCTGATACCATCAAAACTCAAACCACCAGTGAAACCCCAGGTCCGGCTGTTCCACTTGCGGCCGCTAAAATCACAGAGGCTGATGAATTTCAGTCCACTAAAGAAACTCAGGCCGCCACTGATATGGCAAGTTCGACAACTCCACCTGCAATTGCAAAAATTGCTAATACCATCGAAACTCAGCTTACAAAGGAAACTCTCACAACCACCGGAACTAAACCAACCATTGAAACACCAGCTCCGGCAACCCCACCTCAACGACTGCCACTCAGGCCACCGTCTCCAGTTAACATACAACCACTTCAGACAGATACCTCACCCAGATCTCCATCTCGATTAGCCTCTCAGTCTACAGAAAAACCATCATCATCTTCCCCCATAACCACAAGTGCAGTTTCCCATAATACACCAGGAAATATGGCAATAGATTCAAATAATGTTTCACAGGGTGTTGATCTTGCTCTAGATGCAAAATCAAAGGAGATAGCAAAAGCGAAAGGAAAACAAACCAAATCCTTGAATCGACATTCAATGGACAAAATCACGGAAAGAAAATCTCAAAAACCAAAAGCAATACCATCAGCTCGACTTTCCCTACACAGAGAGATCAAAGACGACATTTTCAAGTTCATTCATAAGATGGCAACAAGTCCTCCAAAGAGATATATGGATGAAAAACCTGCAAGTGTTGTTACAGTTGCTGGTGACAACACAGGGGCATCTATGCATTTAGGTTCAGATGTAACCAAAAGAGATATCCAAAGAGGATATAAGGTTAATCCTGCCATTAATGGAGAGGGAAACTCAAATGGTAGAGATTCAGAATCCAATGAAAATGAGGAAACAAAAGCAATCGTTAATAGCAATATTCAAGGAATCAATAACTCAATGATGTTCAACAGCTCTGTTACTGATAGGAACCCAGGTGTTCATCTAGGTTTTTTCCATAATATAGCGAACAACAACGATTCAAAGATGGAGAATAGGGGGTCAATGGAGACGCATAAGGCGGAAGCCAACATTACCCCCCAACAGACACTCGTTTACGATCCCACAATCGGAAGATGCCTTGAAGGGGTTTCCATGGAGGCTTGCGACCTTGAAGCAGATGATGACAAGAAATCAGTCAAAGGTTATGAAATAGAGGTTGCTTGATTTAAACAAGAAATACCGAGAAAATAAGGATGATATCTATCATGTCTATTACGTTTGGTCATGTATTTTAGGTTGACTTAATGAACGAAGACAAGCTAAATAACAAATTTTTATAGCGTTTCTAACTATTCAATTTCATATAAGATTTAGGGTCACTCGAGATAGTATCTTTAAGCCTGTAAACAAACTGAACATTCACTGAACTGTTTAACGGAAAGTTCGTTTATGTATGTTTATTTAATAAACGAACGAACATTAACAAATGTCTTGTTCGTTCATTTATGTTCGTGAACGTTCGTTTACTTATGTTCGTTTATGATAATAAATTATAATTTAAATAATAATAATAATAATTATTATTATTATAATTAATAACAATAGAGTAAAGAGTTTACATTTTCTATTAGATTTCTTTAAAGAAATCTAATGTATTTAATTGTACCCAACCCTGCATTTCACTTATATAGCTGCTTGGTTGTATGACTTTTTCTCAACTCTTTCTATGTATGATGCATTTTTTTCCTATCCCACATCGGTGGAAATTAACAAATTTTGCTCCATCCTCTACTATATATATTTGATCCCCACCCCTCAAAAAGTCAAGTGATTGACCGCTCAGGTATTTAAGTTTGTTTGTTTAGAACGAAGACGAACACAATCATTTCTTAATCAAACGAACATGAACATAAAGAATTTTGTTTGTTTATTGTTTGTGTTTGTTTGGTTAAGTTAAACGAACAAACACAAACAAGTTTCCGTTTGTGTTCGTTCGGCTTATTTACAAGACTAAACATCGTTAATTAACAACGGTTATCAAGGGGACCAAAAATATAATTCACTCTAAATTCAATTGTGATTCATATCCGATCACAAATCAAATATCTTAAATCTATATATCTATTAAAAGAAAAACCAAATAGAATGACTTGACAGATATTTGAGTATTCCTTAAATCTAAAACCAAATAGAATGACTTGACACAATAAGATTTGAGTATTCCTTAAATTTTGAAATGTGGTTAAATTTGCTTATCCCACATTGGTAGAAAGAAAGAAAGTAGAAGAAATGAAATGTGTATATATATGAAAAGAAGAGGTGATTTTTTTGTTGCAAGTTATGATGTTGGTTCAAATAAGTCAACCCTTTCATTTGCAATTGTTATTATGAGATTTGAGTATTACTTAAATCTTAAAATATGGTTAAGTTTGCGTATACCATATAAAAAGATGACTTAAAAATTGAGATAACATCTTGAGAGTGATGTATTTTAAAATCTTGCGTTGTGGTTGGTTTTTGAAAATCCCACATTGATGAACAAATAATACATTGATTGAATATGATATATAAAAATAAGCATGTGATTCTTCCGAAAATTAAAAAAGCACTATGAGATTTGAGTATTTCTCTAAACCACAACATTGATGTTGCACCCAAATAATTGAGTAATTTTTATTCCTTATTTTTGTGGTTGAATTTATTTATCTCATATTAATAGATAGATGAAAGATTAACAATTTATTATATATATATATATATATATATATATATATATATATATATAGGCGGGATCAGTTAAAAACCGTCTAATTCCTAGAAATCGTGTAAACCAATTTCGACCAATAGGAAAATTCTTTTTTTTAATTAAATTTAATCATTAAGGGTAGATTTGTCATTTACATTGTTTTTGATTAAATATGTAATTTATTAAAAGATCTTAATTAAGGTAGCGTAATGAAGGAAACGTTAAAAATAGTAATATTTAAATGTTTACTTAATTTAGTATTTTAAAAATTAAATATGTTTATTTGTTTTCTAGGTTTATTAGTAGTAAGAATATGAAAATCGAAAATTATTATATTCATTGATCCACGAAATCAGTAACAGATCCTAACAAAAATTCATGAACCGGTAAAAATATAATCATTTGTGAAATAGATTCATGTTTAGATTGTTTCGTGAAAACGTTCATTGAGGAGCTTGTTTTATGAAACGTATGCATATTGGTTCATGAAAATGTTCATTGAGAAGCTTGTTTTATGAAACTTTTGGGGATGAACTGGTTGCGTCATATAATATTCTTGGACAATCTTGTTTTCTTATAAACAATTATTGATGAAATTGTTTCATTTTGTTTTAATTTTTTTGGATGATTTTGTTCACTTAATGGTTAACAAATCATGTAATGGTAAATGCATTGACTCTATGAAACGTGTTCAGATTGGAAAAAAAATTGCCGATGAAATGGGTGCATAAAGAAAGTGAAACAATTTCATAATTGTTAAGAAAATGTTGTATAATTAACGAACAGTGAAATCATTTCATAATTAGATTAAAACGGATCTATCTACCAATAACATGAAAATGACAAATGTCTCATCTAGCATTACACTGATTTGTGTATTGATGAAACTATGAAACGTGTTCGGATTGCAAAAACTTTGTTGATGAAATGGGTGCATAACGACATAGAAACCATTTCATAGTTGTTAAGAACATGTTGTTTAATTAGCAAACAATGAAACCATTTCATAATTAGATTGAAACGGATCCATCTACCGGAAACTTGAAAATAACAAATGTTTCATCTAGCATTACGTTGATTTGTGTATTGATGAAACTGTGAAACCATTTCGTTCATGAAATGTAGTATTAAATTTTTTATTATTATTATTATTATTCAAAATGTTTCATTATGTTAAATTGATTATAATGTGTTTTATTTTTATTGTTGATCTATTTTAATGATGAATGTTATTTTTTTATAATATTTGAACATAAAATTAATATATTATTTTACAAATAGTTTTGTTTCATTAATATTACGATATACATGATATAGTTGTCATTAATATTACTACTACCAAAGTTACCATTTTGCCCTTTTGAGATTATAAAATAATTTTTTATTTTTTTTTTATTTTTCTAATATAACTTACACTAATCTTGACCATTGATCAAGAAAATGAATGTATGAGATTGGTTTACATGGTTTACACAAATGAAGACATTTTTCATTTGATCGCTCCTCTCTCTCTCTCTCTCTCTATATATATATATATATATATATGTTTGTGTATGTGTGTGAGAGAGAAAAGAGGTTGAGACGCCTTTGTGATAACTCAGTGGTTGTCTCCCTTTAACCAATTCTCTAACTCATATTATTGGTTCATTGTAACCGACTCTTTGAAGTCATGAAGTTGGTTTATTTTGGTCAACCCTCTTAAACAGTTAGTCTATACAAAAAATTAATTTATATATACCATTAATATATCAACATATCTCAATATCAAATATCATCAATATAATAAAAGAAGAACTAAGGGGATAATATGGTATCGTGATATTTGAGTATTCATAATTATTTATTGGTTATCCAAATTGGGGAGAATACGATAAAGTGAAACCACGTGAATACATGGGTTTAGTTTTTTGGCTCACACTCTAAACGAAATATATTAATTATTCTACTTTACATTTTCATTATAAGTAAATTAACGTATCACGTTTTATCTTAATTTATTATATGATTTTAAGGAAACAAAATTTGTCGCCGAGCAATGCACGGTGAAGGAAAAAGACTTGGAATTTCTTTTTGTTTTAGAGAACTTAAATAAAAAGAACTGCATCTAAGTAAAATCAAGAACTTGTAGAGGCGTAACCGCCTGCACTCTTGTTTTTTTTAATTTTAAATTTATTATATGAAAATAGATTTAGCAACGACAAGTATAGCGACCACAAGTAGTTAGTTGCTAAGGCTAACTTAGCCACTAAGGTGACAAACAGTGGTTGTCATGGGTGTAAATGGCATGTGACAACTTGCGAACTATTCGAGATCGACTTTGTCAAAACTCGGTCAACACTCGGCTCAAATAGGCTCGGCTCGAGCTAGAGTTCGATTCGACATGCTAACAAGTTAGACGAGCTACTTTTTAAATTCCTTTTTTTTCTTTCAATTTTGCTCTTTATATATCTATATATATATATATATATATATATAGTTTGTTTCAAATACAACCCATCGCATTTGTACAACCAACGCAACCCAATAAATTGAGATATTTATGGAAACGATGAGAGTTTATTTATTATGATTTAAATATTTATGGAAGGTGAATATAATTCATTAATTATGATCAATACTTTATATTAGGAAACAATCAAAACTTATATGAAATTACATAATAATCAAATAAAATAGATGGTTGAGATTGGGTTGTATTGGTTGCACAAATGTCAAATGTTGTATAATAACTAGCCCCCCCTCTCTCCGTCTCTCTCTCATGCACACCTATGCATATACTTTACCAACACATACATGCCTACATACACGTGTATATCTATAAGCACATATTATAGGCATATAATATGTGCTTATAGATATACACGTGTATGTAGGCATGTATGTGTTGGTAAAGTATATGCATAGGTGTGCATGAGATGGTCCATCATGCAAACACGTGGCTTGTTTAGGTAGCCCACTCCTTTTTTTTGGAAACTATATAAAGAGGTTTAACCTCTCATTTGGCTTGCTGCCATTTTTAGAAGTTGAGAGCTCTAGAGTGAGTGTTGTCCGGTTTAGCAAAAGGAGGAGTTTTCAAGTTGATTTCAAGTGTCAAGTTTCAAAAGAGAATCAATTTCTAGAGTTTTGGTTTCAAAAGCTTTTTAAGGTGAGTGGTTTCTAAACCTTTTTGTATTAAAATTTTACTGGTTTTAATTACATGCTTCGTATTATTCATATTTGAAGAGAGCATGTTTATTTTTGTTCTAAGTGTTATCCGGATAAAGCTTGACCGGATAAGGGTGTAAACCGGACAAGCCTTGTACGGGGTGTTGTCCGGATTGTTTTTAAACCGGTTAAGCTTTAAGCGGTTTAGTGACCGGATTAGTATAAACCGGACAAGCCGTGAGCGGTTTGTTGTCCGGAGTTGGTTAAACCGGTTGAGGGTTGAACGGTTTATCTTTAAACCGGATGAGAGTTGAATGGACTAGTGTTCGGATTT